ACATACTCAAATCAATAATATCTACGGTATTAGAGTCACATAATTACATAATTAAAATGCTAAGAAAGTAATACCTCGAAAACTATGCATACAATAATAAATTCCATTGAAATTAAAGTACATCGATACACATTGAAAGTACTACTAATTTTGATTATTTTTTTTCATGACGGATAACGTAGACGTAGAAAATAATTTTAATAAGTTTTTTCATATATCCAGTTCTTGACGTTTGATACTTTTCATGAGCCTTTGACATGTCATGTGGAACGAGAAACAATTCTGTGCATATCTCTTATCGTTTCATATATATTTTTAGCTTATTCTACTCTTCTTTTCACGTACTCAAAACACCTGAGTAACCACGAGAAAACTCGCTCACGTAATCGTGGTAGGACTTTTTTTTCATTCGAATGAAATAATGTCTTCAATGCATCTAATAAGACTCAAATGGCGCGATTTGGCAATTATACTTGGCGCATCCTCGTGATCACGACAGGCACGACTTCGCTTTTTACGATAATAATGAAAACACATATCAATGCACTCCCTTCCTGACCAGAAAGAGTTCACGACTTTTTCTCGACTTGAGAAAACTCACACAATAGAAAAATCGCCCTGCAGTGTTCGCCCCGACGTGCCATTACGCTGCCGCCGCTGATTCTACTTCTTGATGCACTTCCTGATGAAATGAAACGAAAGAAGGAGGAAGGATATATTGTTACACGGAAATATCTGTATAAAATCGCGCCCGATACGTATGCCGGGACGGTTGCTCGGTGGCGACGTTCGCGAGGCTTGTGAAGAGAAGCGAGAGAAAGCTCGGGACCGTGGATGGATCGATAGGACGGCTTTCAGCATGCGCTACTACACGGCTGCCGCTCTGCACAACGCGATGGAAAAAGCACTACTCCGACCACCGGTGCCACCACCGCCGTTTCCCCGCCGATGACGTCGTCGTCGTCGGCGTCGGCGTCGGCGTCGGCATCGGCGTCAGCATCGACGTTAGCATCAGCCGTCTCGCGTTGTCAGAGACTGTTCATTCACATTAGGAGTGCATCGAATCTACGTGCAACCCAAGGAACACACCAAGTCAAGAGAAAGTCAAAATTACTTTATTTTTAAGTCATAATCAAGTCAAAATGATAATTTTTTTTTAATTATAAAATTTGGCTGTTTATTGATGATAAGAATCAAGATAAAGTATTTCGATATTTATTGACTTTGTATGTTCCTTGGAAAGATTTCTTGGAAATTTTGCGCAAGCATAAATATAAAAATGATATTAAGACAAAACTTACGGGTTTTTCGCCAAAATCCTAAAATCCTTATGAGTCAATTCTAAGCAGAATCATAAAACTCGTAACGTATTCTCGTAAAACTTGCAAGAATTACTTATGACTAGTATTCTAATTTTATGCGTATATATCGTAAGACATAAATATCTACGATTTCTTGTAAATTTTATGGCTAATAAGAAGCTGTCTGTAAAATATATTAATTGTATGAAGGTATAAGCATTAAAAAAATTCTTACAAGCTTACAAGAATAAGTATATGTTACGAGTCTTACGATTCTGCTTAGAATTTAGACATTAGTTTGTTGTCTGCGCTTTTTCGTTTCGCCGAAAATTCGAGAAAATTGTTTAATTTTAGCTTTTTTCGCTCCTTTTGTCAGTAGAAACTAAAATCTTTATTGTAATTTTTTCTCACTTTGGCATACATCGAGAAATAATTTTGCTCGAAGAAATAAATCGAGAATTTATAATATTTGCTTCACAAGTAATTCCATTATTCGCTTCCAATAATTTTCATATTTGCGTGCGCTCGTTATTAATGATAGGGATCTGAGATGTGTATCTTTTCAGGGAAAAATAAAAGAATTAAGTTATAATAAAGGGAAAGTTTAAATTTTTTACTCGCATAAATTCCCCTGTTGAAAGAAAGATATAATCTCGTGTTCCGTACAACCTATTTCAAAACTTTTCTAATCATAAACACACCGGGTGTCACATAATAGCTCGTGTGTAAGCTCCGACAGAAACTTTCGCTACTTTTTCATCTTCGCTGCAGGCGAAGACGTGATGGGGCACAGGCACGATGTAGTAGTACAACTGGGTCTTGCTACAGACAAATACACGCGGGATCTTAGAGGTCGTATTTCGGTGACCTGCCGTGGGCGATTCGTTATTCGAAAGTTCGAAATCCTGTCGAACTTTCAATCTCTTTTCGAATTAGGAAAACGTGCGGTTTCCACAGAACATCTTAAAGATTCCATTATTACGACTTACGAAAATTACGTGCAGCGTGATGTGAATGCATAATGAATTGTATCTGAAACCTTTCATATCTATATTGTATCCTCTCTAAATTCTTTGGAGTAGAATATCGTTTTGAAGAGTGAAAATTTGTTCTTGAAAAAGAGTAGCTCAATTTTTAAAGTAAAATTTCACTCTACAGAGTGTGAGATTCACTTTAAAAGTTGTAGAAAATTTATATTGTATTCTATGTTGTGTATTTATAAGATATCTGTATATCCAGTGCAATTGCTTGATAGATTTTTCCTCTCTTGTAACATTTTCCCAAACAAAAAGCTTATATTTGTCGTCGTTTAAAGTTATTTGACGTTTTTATTGTCGATTTACGTATTTCACGCATTTTTTCTTAAATTTTTGAAAATATTCAATTTACCACCATATTTAAAACAATTATTTTCGCATGTAATGAAAAAGAATAAAATCAGGTGACATTTTTACAAAGAATCGTAATTCATGTGCAACCTGATTTTACTCTTTTTCATTAAGTTACAGTTCTACAAATTAAATTAAATTTTGCTTTAAAACATGTTATTTTAAACTTAAATATACATATATATATATATATATATATATTATATACGTTATGTAACAGCATTATATAGGTAATTTAAAAAGTACATATATGTACAATACATGTATGTGAAAAAAATTTTTTTAAATATGTAGTAAATTAGATATTTTTAATAATTTAAGGAAAAATGCACACAAAATCCGTAAGCTACGTTTTTACATGTGGTCCTTACAATTGTAAACTCAATTTCAAAGTGCTTAAAGTAAGTTAGTTCTTACAGAAAAACCCTTTCGTCTATTTCTCTTGGAAAATTTCTCTTGGGATTTATCTTGGGATTCTGCTCAAGTAAGTACAGCCGGTTTGGTTGCAGTATAAGCCATAGAACTATGGCATTTACGTGACTGCTAAGAACGTTTCGGAAGATATGCCGAATGGAACGTGTTAATATCTCTGGGTTAAAGGCATATTTTCGTATAAACCTACAAACGCCCACGAGTATAGATACATATATGGACACCCACGCGAATCACGACTCATTCCGGTTTGATTAATAATTGTAATGAAATTGTCTATATCGCGTCTATATAGCGTGAAATCGATGTATAATTGCACTGTAATTTTATGTGATGTAATATTACATTTACATTGGTGATCTACTTTTTTTTGACAAATGTTGTTGGTAAATGAAGCCGACGCAACGCAGTGACGCTTAATTATTCGTTCATTACCCTGATATTGATTTATTATCGTAAATAATTAGTGATCGTCTATTTATTTTGTGATGATTCCTTACTTTTTATATGTGGGAGTGAGTGGGAGTCGACTTCCTTTTACTTTTTTCTTATTAATCTTTGAAAATGTTGTGGACGTAAAAATAGTATATGAACATGTATGGAAAAAGAAGAAAAAATTTTGGTATAAATTATTAATTTTATTCTTTAATGTAATATTAGATTCTTTAATATTTTGCGGAAATCGATACTTTTATGTGATATATTACTACTCTAGTTAACTATTCATGATTGTGTTTCGAGATTGAAAAAGATTTCGGAGGGCAACTTACAGAATTAGATATGTACATAAATTTACACAGAAATATTTAAGTATTATAAGATCCGCTTTATTGACCGAAAATAGGATTTCTCTTATTTAATTAGATTTATTTTTATCAATTACAATTTCAAATTATAATTTGATATTCTTATAATTTTATTTTTTTATACGTTCACATTAGTCTTCCGGAGGTTTAAAAAATTTCAACGCCCACGGCAATTCTATATTATCCCTAATAGCACAGATCTCCAAGGGACGTTCCAAAGAACATTCAGAAGATATCCTTATACTATACTGGTATGTCCTAAGAAACGTTCACCAGAACGTGCCTCGAATAAAGTGTGCTATTCGGGGTATATCTTGAAATGAAACAAGATAAAAATTATAAAAATGAACAAAATTCACTAAGTATATATCAATCAATAAAATTATAAATATTGCAATAAAAAAAAATTTGCTCATTTTTGTAATTTTTACCTCATTTCTCAAGTATTGGAGGCTTTTTTAAAAATTCATAGCAAAATATTATATATACATTTTTTTGTAATATTTCTGAAATGCTTAATTATAATTTTGAAATTCAGAAAAAATTTTTTAATTTAACAAACTCCTACTAGATATAAAAAATATAGATTCTATTACATTATGAATCATGGATTTTGTGTTGAAATAATTTTAAATAAAGTGTTTTATGAATTATACATTTAACACACAGCAGAAATTTCCGAAATACATCAGACAGATATCCTAAAGATATCACACATCCCATATATATCTTTAAGATATCTCTAGGATATTTTGGACACATTTGCTGTGTGGAAAATAATATTTATTCAATGTAATAATTTAATGTTCTATCGTTTTATATTTGACCTTAAAAATAAAATTTCGCCAATATGATTTCAAAATATCTTTTATACACATAATAATCAACCTCCAGGTTTTCGAGTGATCCCTCCACAATTGCAGAAAACATATTATCATCAGGTATTATCTTCGTGCAAATTCGTGCAAAACATCTTCAAGTTGCTTCTAGATCTTCTAGATGACACTACTCATGCAGAAAATATGCAGCGCAAAGAGCAAGTTGAAGTTGCCAGATCAGCTAGATGGCGATGGCAATTCCATTGCCGGCTGATCGAAACTGGAGAAAATCGGACCAGAATCATTGATCATCGCAATCGCGGTAATAGTGATTACAAGCAATTGCGAGCGAGAGAGGAGAACTTGTATTTTCGCGGCGATTTGAGTTCTCAGGACACGGTAAAATTTGCGACGACCCTGTATGTTCAATTGCAGAAACGTGACGTTGATGATTGGCAAGAAGTCCTTCGGAATTTCTCGCGAAATATGCTGGCTTTGAAAGTAAGGTAGAAGAGCGTATCTGGCACCGCATAATTTCCAAGAGTTGCGAGAACGCTGCTTTTGGTTTCTAGGCGACCGTTGTTAGTTGCTCCTTTAGAAGCACTCGTATCCTTGGAAATTTCCTTCTGAGAAACAGCTCGGCTTCCATCGAACCCAAAGGAAAGATGTCGTTCGAAGATGAGAAACGTAAGGAATCGCTTTCAGTTAATTATCAATTAAATGGAGAACAATCAAGGAATTGTGAAGTATTTTAATGTCTCTTTTCATTATTTCTTTGTTAAATAGAAAGGTTCATGAACATGCCACCAGAGGAAAAGAGAGGCTTTTACAAGGGAGAGGTAATTACTCTTGAACAGATTTCTACATGGTCAGAGTACTGGGATAAAAACAAGTCTAATATCACCAAGGCTGTTGAAAAGGCTGAAAAAGTCGATGAGACCCTAGCTAAGAAAGTATGTATGTGGCAAGGAGACATAACGTCGCTTGAGATAGACGCAATTGTCAACGCTGCTAATTCGAGTCTTTTAGGAGGTGGTGGAGGTATAAGATGTTCTCAAATATTGTATGCGTTCAGCAAAAAAAGCAGCTTTGCAACTGTTGTAAAATTCTTAATATTGGTTTATACATTCAGATCCAGTAAGGAATTAAAGGTATTATACTAAAGGATCGATTACGTTAAGAAGAATTTTACATTTTTATAACAGTTGCAAAGCTGCTTTATCTGATGAGCATATGTATTTTGTAACTTTATATATTTGAGAGATATAAGATGTTTCTATATATAAAATAATGACAAATATTTTAGTTGACGGAGCTATTCATCGAGCAGCAGGACCATATTTAAGGAAGGAATGCGCGACGTTAAAAGGATGCAAAGTTGGCGAAGCTAAAATCACAGGAGGTTACGAGCTGCCAGCCAAATGTAAATAATTTATTGCAGAAGTTCATAATCTGTATTTTATTAAAAAATTAACTTAATTAAATTGAAACAAAATGTATTTTATTCATTCTAGATATTATCCACACGGTTGGTCCACAAGGTGAAAAGCCGGATAAATTAAAAGAATGTTACGAGAATAGTTTGACTCTGGCTAAAGAGAATCGTTTGCGTACTATCGCATTTCCATGCATATCAACTGGAATTTATGGATATCCACAAAGGCCAGCGGCCAAAGTAGCTATATCGACCGTTAAAAAGTTTCTCCTCGATAATAAAGATACTGTAAGATTGCACATGCATTCAACAAATTGTTACTTTAGTATTTACAATCAAAAGTACACGTCAAATTTTTATTATAACTTTTTAGGTGGACAGAGTCATCTTTTGCTTATTTATGGACACTGATAAAGACATATATGAGGAGCTATTGCAAAAATACTTTGCCCTTGATTAAATATTTGTTGATAGATAAATTTCTACTTCAGCAAAATCCTTCACAACGTGTTTGGTGTAATCTTAGATATTGTATTTGAGGAATAAGTATCACATAGAATTATAATATATATATTAGGTAGTTATCTTATTCCTTTCCCAATTCTTTTTATTTCCAAAGTCAAAATGAGTTAATTCTAATCGCTATTCGCGATTCTGATGAATCCGGACATTTTCTTCCACTGTTACGAAAAATTATTTATGACAAATGTTTTTCACAAACTTATATAATTTTACATCATCTTACTCTTCGGATTTTGACCTTCAAATTGAAAAAAAAATTGCTCAATTAGGGGTGTGATCCATTTACCGCTGCAAATACTTCGTTGACCAATTAGAAGAAAGAATTTTACGAATTGACCAATCAAAGAATGCTTCAAAGCATTTGCAGGGTAAAGTGAGAGTGCACCCTACGATGGATAACTATGATAAATTACCATGTATAGAATGAAATAATTATTAACTTTATACGTTAATTAAAACAATTAGATCTTAATTTTAAAAGAAATTCCTTGTATTTCTTTTTATATATATATATATTTTCTTAAATTTATAAATTCAAATACCGTATGTTGTAACTTCTTAAGAATGTTATCTCGGGGATAGGGGAGTCGTGAATTAATTTTTAAAATAAAAATAATATAATAATGAATTTAATTATTCACACTATAATTGAATTAGTCAATATTAAAGGTTATTTTATATAAGTATCTAATTACGGTGTTGTAAAATAATCAACTTTGACAATGAAGTAATATATATTTGACAATATCATTATTAAGTACTTGATTGTTTAAAACACATTAATATACCTTTACATTTAATTTTGCTAAGTTTACATATGACAGCTTTTAGTATGCAATAATCTAGCGTATTGCAAGTGATCGAATTCGCTAAAAGTAATTTTGTCGTAAAATTAAAAATTAAATTTAAAAAACTTGAAATTAAAAAATATTTAAATACATTATAAATAAAATAATTAATTTTTAATAGTAGTAATTTAAAAACTTGTAAATAATTCAGTTAATATGAATTAATTAATAATTAATAATGATTATTAGTTATTGTCTTTAATGGTTATCAATAATTAATAATAATAATTATTATTATTAATGATTAGTAACAATAATTTCTATTAATACTTATCAATAATAGTCTTTAACAATAATCGTTAATTATTAACTATTAATAATTATTTTTATAAATTATTACAAATTAATTTAACTAATTATTTACAATTTTTTGAATTCTGAATCATTAGAATTTTGTAACGTACAGAATTTGCGAAAATCCACGATCGATTTGGGATTTTCGCGCGATACGATTTGCAGTTCGATGCTCCGAAATGGCCCGATCGCCCTGAAGTCAACATCGTTGAATTTAAAATACGCGCAGCAAGCTGAATGGCTGTGCTGCTGGCGACTGGCGCGCCATCTTGAGAGTCGACGACGGCGCGTCGCCATCATGAAAAACCCGAGGTGCTGTGATATATGTGCGTGGCGATAGGTGGGGGTTGGTCGGTCATTAACGCGGTGTATCTCGGAGACGGGAAATTTGTCACAAATGGGCGAATATTCCTGAGCACTGAGGACCGGCCCGATCGTACGAGCCGCGAACTTTTCGCGTTCACGTCTCGCGACACGGCACGAAAACATCAACGCCGTCGTGCTCGTCGTTGCCGTCGTGATCAAGATCGTCGCTGTCGTCGCCGTGGCCGCCGTTATCGTCGCCTGCCGTCGCCTCGAGCACACCCAAGGGACTCTCTACAGTCGGTCGCTCCTCGCCGATCTACGGTGCCCGTGGCGAGGGTGTGCGCTGTGCGATCGCGATCGTACGCCCAGTGAATAGAGTGAGTACAGTGTTGGAGAGAGAGAAAGAGAGAGAGAGAGAGAGAGAGAAAGAGAGAGAGCACGCGAAAGATAGAAGAGAGGAGGAGCACACGCACACACACAGTGTGTGTCGATAGCAGAGCCGAGAGCGTTTGTAGCGTTGGCGATCGTGCGCCGGTCGGTGCCGCGTATTGCTTCGAGCGAGCGGCGAGTGAGCGTCGCGAGCCGACAGCCGAGCGTGTTCAAGCGTCGTGAGCGTGCCGTGACCCGTCCGCGTCGAACGGTCGAACGATCGTCGTCGTAGCCTACGCCCGCTAGGAGTCGAGTCGTCGTGCAACGCGAAAAGAGCACGAGCGAGCGTGCCGTAATGGGCGAACGAAACGTGCATGCGCTCGCGGCGTGAGCAGCATCATCTTTGCGTTCGACCTCGCGTACACGCCGAACGCGAAGAAGAGGAACGTGGAGTAATCGCGAGATATACCTGGAGGGAAGAGAAAGAAAGAAAGAGAGAGAGAGAGACAGAGAGAGAAGAAACGAAAGAGAGCCGCCGCGGGCTTGATCTCGACGAGACAGAGACGAGCAAGGCAGACGTACGTACGCAAACGGACGGACGGAGGTCCCGTAATCCTGAATGGCCGCCGCGGCCGCTTTCTAGGTTACTGACGGACAAGGAGGAGAGCGCGCGCGAGGGAGAAAGACGCGGTGAAGTGAGAGAAACGGCGATCGGAAGAGGTAAAACCGCCAAGAAAGAAAGGAAGTGAGAAACGAATCTTGTGTGCGTGCGCGAGTGAGAGCTAAAGAAAAAAAAAAGAACTGTCGTCCGCGAGAGAGAAAGAAGGAGAAAGACGAACTTATAAGGACGGATTGAGCGAGGGGGAGAGAAAGAGAGATAGAGGGATAGAGAGAGAGAGGGGGAGGGAAGAGGACAGACACAGCGAACGACCGTGAGCGCTCTCGCGCGGACGCGCGCGCGCGCGCACACCCGCACCCGCTGAGAGACTCCATCATCTCCGCCGATGTACGGTCACCGAGGAGGTGATCATTCACGCAACGCGCGAACGCCGTGTCCTGGACGTCTCTCCCGTGCTCGTCGGCGAGGTCTCGCCGTCACCCGCGAATCGTCGCACGCGCCGACGGAAGTCTAAAGCCGTCGGCGCCCGTTGCCGTCTTCGCGTATATTATAACTTGCCGCCCCCGTTCACTTATCGCATACACCGCTACCACCACTATCACCGCCACGATCATCACGCGCCGACTACTACCACTGCTGTCAATCGCCACCGTCACCGCCTTCGTCCTCGTGCGTCCTCGTAACCGCCGACGTCGTCGCCGAGGCTTAGCTCGCATGTATGCATCTCAACACGTATGTATTTATTGTCGAAATATGAGAGAGAGAGAGAGAGAGAGAAAAGGGGAGCTCCTGCGTGTAACGTTCTTATATGTGAGTATATGCATGCGGGAGAATTGCGTGTGCGTAGGTGAGTGCACGATGCCCTAAGTGTCCAAAAAAACAGGGAGGGAGAGAAGGAGTAGCCAACCGAGTTTGCCGCGAGGAGTCACTTCGTTTTTCTTGCTCGTCTCTCTCTCTCTCTCTCTCTCTCTCTCTCTCTCTCTCTCCTTTCTTCCTCTTCCTCTCTCGATTTGGCTCTGAAGAGGTTTTCTGCCCCCGCTCTCTATTTCTGTTTCTTTCTGTCCTTCCATTTCTCTCTCTCTCTTTCTCGACATATTTCAATCAGTAGTAGCTTTCTTAATCCTAAATTTTCGTCCATCATCCAATTGCCACTTCTCAAACAAAAGGAGGATCTTTCTTCCTCCCTTTTGGGAGCGGTTTTACCCTGTCAGAGCGTGCAGATTCGCCTCAGAATCGATCCGCGGGCTGTGTATTCATATTTGTTAATTTTCTCTTTGCATAATTTACTTAATGTTCATTATGTAGAAATCAGTGTAAGAATCAGTTCCTGAGTTCTGAATTTTAACATCAAAATACGACGAGAGTTTTATTAATGAGACCTGTCTGATAAAACATTAAATTGATAGAGAATCACATATGCCGGTATTCATAGTCAATTCCTTGATATGAAAAGACCAGGTGTATCATTGCGTGTAATAACAGCTGAATATAATTGGAGGCAAATTTCTGATCAGTGGCACATTTCTAATTATACTGGCTTATAAAATTTGATCAATTTCTAATTGATCACGAATGTCATTGTTTTTAATACGATTTCTCACATTCTTGAAATTAATTCATCTGATCTTTTTACACGATCAATTCTTTTTTTAAGATCGTCTAATGCCCGTTTCTATCAATACAGTTTAACTTTAATCTCGGTTCAACTATCTCTTCATCTTTTTCTAGTTTTAAGAATAAGAAAAAAATGACGAGTAAGTTGAATCGAGATTAATCTACATTGATAGAAATGGGCCTAAGTAATGTCTTAAGATGTTAATACTTTGTAATTAATTTAAGACGATCTCTTAAATATAAGAATCGATTATGAATACTGGCTATAAACATATAATTGTCCGCGACACTATCATATTCCTCGTTAAATAAACTGGAATGCTACATCATGCGATTGGGTCCTTTGTTCTACACATTTATTTTCTTCGAAAAACTAGAAACATCAAGTAATTAGTTATAACATTTGTATACAATTCTTTTAAATACATAACCTTATCAATATTTTCTAAAAATGTTAAAGTATATATAAAAATCATTAAATAATTTGTGTATATTTGTTAAAATGATGAAAATTAATCCGGGGCACGAATGACTCATCGTGTGTAAAGAATTGGAAATTCATTGTATGTACTAAGGATTAAGGCGAAATCCATACCATTTTTATGATCTGAAACGTGAATCATGCAAGGCATTTAATACGAAAATAGACACAAGAGATCGCAGATCGCTATTCATCAGACAATTTTTTGTTAGAATAAATTTTTATATAAATCTTAAATTGCGAATATTAATAAAAAAAATGTTTTTCTAACTTCAACACGTGAAAAAAGAATTATACAATCGTGAAGCCTATTCTAAAATTGCATAAGCATAGTTGTAAGTGGTTGCAGTTATAAGAATTGATCAATCACAATCATATATTCTTTTTATATTCAACTGTAATTGATCAGTTCTTGCAATCACTTACAACTACACTTATACAATTGTAGAATAGGCTTTAAGGGTATAAGCTTTTGAGTCAAACAGAGCTTCCGTTTCC